GAGGGTTCCACTTGGGTTCAGCTGAGCTTAGCTTAGCTGAGTTTACAGACAGCAGATGCATCATTTGATCTGTCACAACTGTTAAAGTGCACACTGCAGACAAATGTTTTGCAGTTAAAGCAATGAAAAAGTTTCCTCTCACTTTTATTATTCTCTCTTTTATATATTACTCTTGTCCTTAAATGAAGCTACAGTAATTTAATAAAAACGTATTTCTTATCTGATTACTTGATAAATCGGCAGAATACTCAATTACTAAAAGAATCAATAGCTGCAGCCCAAGTTTTTAGCCATTCAATGGAATTACCTTTGGAAAGATTATGATTATTATGACACATGATAAAAAAACAACTATTACAAACATTATCCAAAACAGCTTTTGACACTGCATGTATTCCCAGGCCTCACAGCTGCTTTATCAATGTGTATTTGTGTGTTTGTTCTTCAGGGAACCTTGGGTACGATAGACATGCGAGTCAACAAAGCCGAGCAATACTTTAATCAGACAGACACGGACTGCTCCATAAATTCCTGCCCCGAGCTGTTAAGAAAAGGTAAGGGATGGTGACTTGGCATTAACTCATCTTACACACTGACTCATCATAAACTGAATTACCAAACTCTCTTTCTCTCTGTGTTAGAGCTTGAGCTCATGTTCCCCTCAGCGCCCACCAATTCCATCACAGTCGTGACGGTCACACAGAGTAACAGTTGGTGCGAGGGGGCAGTAGAACAGGACAGAGACCAGCTGCTCCACAAAGTGAGTCCTGTGATATTATCTTGTTATTATAGATGTGATGTAATGTTGAAACAGCTGCTGACTGAGTGTTCTTCTAACTGCAGTTTGTGAACGGAGCAAAGGAAATGTGCTTCGCTCTGTGGACTGCAGGCTACTGGGCGGACTTCATCGACCCAACAACAGGGGAAGCTGTGAGTTATTCTGCTTGTGGTTGAATTTCTTGCATTAACAGGGAATTCCAGGGCATTTTGAGTATTTGTAATTGTGGGGTATAGATTAATAAGAGAAGAAATGAATTTAAATGAAAGGGGGTCTGTATACTTTCTGAATGAGTCCAGTACATCACCATCACTTTATGTTCCTCAACAGTTCTTTGCATCACCACAAAGTCAACCCAAACTACGGACAGAGGAGGAACTGAGAGACTTGGGCTTCCACATCGAAGTGTCGGGCTCCTGCACAGTTATTCGCCACATCCTGAGAGGAACGCCTTTGTTTGTGGGGACTGTTTTCACCAATGCACCCACTCACAGTGCTGCTATCGCAAGACTACAAGGACTTTCAAATGCGCTCCCTGATGAGGAGTAGGCTTTTTACAATGCCTCTATTTATGGTTTGAAGAAGCTTGGAACTTAATATATGGTAGTGTTGGTACATCGTTGTGTCAGTGAGAGGTTATGCTGAGTTTGTCTTACTGTAACAAGGATTTGACGGAGACTCTAATGTCGACCTCGATGCTGTGCCTAACTGACAAGAGGTCAACGCTGCACTAAATCCAGGGACAAACACACACTCAGTGCAGCGTGAAGAGTTCTCATGACAAATGAAAGGCATTTCAACATGTGATATCTGCTGTTAGAAAACTTTACAGATGATGTTGATGCTTCAAAGGATGACAAAATCCATGTTTTATGATAGTAGGATCATGGATTTGAAATGTAAACCAAGTTGTCAGGTCAATAACTTTTCATACGAACATGTACAGTGTTATTTTTTTCTGTTGCACATAATCAAAAGAAACATGGACACTGTTTCTGTTTAAGCATCACAGTTGTGACAGAACTGTTGCAAATAAAGTGACTTCTCATCAGGTTGCAGTGACACTGTATTTCCTGTGCCTGTGAGTGTGTGCTCCTTCACATAAGTGCTTTCCCAAATTTACCGCTCCATTTTTCGTACATTGATAGCTGAGGAAAAGAGAATTCCTGCACTGTCTTTCTGCTTGCAAACAACTTTTGGTCCTCAGACCTTTATGAGGTTAAGTCAAATTTTCCCAGACTGAAATGTAATTCTCATAATGAAGAGTTACCTGTACTTTTATATGATAAAATGAGATTTGTACCTTAATAAAAGAAACAATCCAAATGTAATTTCAGATGTTGTGAGCAAAAAGACAAACTCAACAAAAGTATTCTGACAGTGGAGCCTGGCATTTAATTTGCCTGGCACACACACACACCAACAACACAAACTAATGTATTACTTTTGTGTACCTTTCATGAGAACATGGTCGAGTTGCATATATCCAAGCAAGCACTTCAGTCAAGTGGTGGATGCAAAGAAAATACAGAGTTCAGATAATATTTTCAGACCATCCCTTGTTGCAGATGCTTGTCACATATTTTCAAAATTCCCAAATACGCCAGTAACCCTCAGAATATGAATTCGACCGCGTCTATCATGGACATGGTGTTACTTTCCTTAACAACATACTGTATATGATATGCAAGGGGCTGATTTTGAATGTATTTGAATTTTAGGTTGTAGTGGTGAAAGAAATGGTAGAAACCTCAGGAGGAGCACCTTAAAAGCAATCCCATTCCCAGGACGGACAGACATGCAATAGATGTCGTACAGAACATAATAAAATTACAGTACTCCATCTGACAAAATCATACATAGAGATGCACAGCAACAACAATGATAATGATTGACAGTAATTATAGAAATATGAATAATAAGAAAAGTAGTTTATGATAGTATATGCCTGTGACAATAATAATCACACTTCCACTATATATATATATATAGTGGAAGTGTGACTTAAAATAATAGCAGTAGTAGTAGGCTTCAGACAGAACCATGGCAGCAGCGCAAACTGGACCAATAATCGAAGTGCAACTGTGATCCAAGGGAACCTGCCAGACATCAGAGCACAAAGGCTCCAGGGAAGAAGCTTGAGTTAGTGACATGCAGTAATATGATGCCTGATCTTAACTCAACTTTTGCCCATTTTCAAAGCCAAGTGTAATGGCAAATATTGGGCGTTATGAATAATATTTACAGGACTTTTTGTCTCTGACATTGTAACGGAAATCACTGTATAAAAAAATATATATATCAAAGTGATGTCTCAGTGTATGGAATGCAAAGAGATTTTATCACTATGCTATAACCCACTAATATTTATAGATAATTAATGTTAACAAAATGACCATTTTATGTTCTCTGCGAGGGAGAATTGTATGAGTGGACTGGTTTGGTTTGGTTTGGTTTGGTTTGGTTTGGTTTGACTGCTGGATGCAACAAGGAACATTTGATTTGTCTGGATTTTGAACCTGAAACAAATTTAATGTTTGGAGACACATCTGGTACATTTGGCTACAGTTGGTAGCTTTTATGAAAATAACTCTTCATCATATTTGCTGAAACTGTCACTATAATCTACTCAGCTTTGTGGATCTGAGATAGTTTGTGAAAAAATGATGTTCCTTCTCCTCTTCCTTCTGCCTCTAATGGCATTCACTAGAATCAGACTGCAGGGCGGCAGCAACAACCAATCAAAGCCAACGAGTCTCTAACACACATCTGTAATGTCAGTCACCCCATGAACTGCAAACTATCAAAGTAGGCAGCCCTAATCAAATATGAATTGATATTCTTTTACTGCGTTTCCTCATGTTTTCAGAAACCTATTTTAGTGTACTGTTTAGCTGTCAAATGAGAAGGTTGGTCTGGCTGGTGGACGGCGTTTGGTACTTCAGTTCACTGTGTCCATTATGGTCTTTTGTTATAAACCTTTCTTATCATTGCAGATTTGTAATTTTCACCTGTGTCTTTTTTTCTTTTGTGTAAAATATATTCCTACTCAGGGCAGACTGCAGACGCCTCAGTGTAACGAATCAATCATCCCCCTGTTTCAAGGATAGTGTGCCAGCTATTGAGCCTTTCAAGAAGTGCAGACCAAATTTCACTGCACGTGTTGTACCCCAGTGATATGACATGATAGGACACCTTGACTTCTCCTTTTAACCTCCTGGGTTAGTACACCTTAATTTGACATTTGTCAGTGAATTCACTGTCCCAGCCTTCCTGATCCTCAGCTAGGGGGTAGCTAAGGGGCCACCTGTCACTTTAGCCCTATTTCCACCAAGCAGTGTGGTACAGTTCAGTTCAGTTCGGTACACATTTTTTCTGTTTCTACTGTGAAAAGTTGTGGATTGTACCAATGGAACCGTTCTGTACCGTCCCCATTTTTGGTCCCCCCTCTGTTGGGATACCTAGCACACAGATCTGGTACTAAAGGGTGGAGCTGTGAACACTGCAGTTTGTTGGTCAATAGAGGACTCTGTTCAGGGCTGAGTTGTGGCTGGTTTTGAGGCTCATATAACCACTGTTCATACCTTAAATATTTTAGTAAACTATAACTACAAAATAAAAGGATGTTTTGCTGTCTCTAGCAGTAGCTGTAGTCTGAGAAAAAAAAACCTTAAGTCACTGGGCCGACTGCCGGCAACTTTTAAGGTGGAACGTTAACTTGTAATGTTACTCAATGCATGAGTTGAAGACATGAATCCATCAGCACACCCTAAATTTCTGTGACAACTTCGACCATTACTTTTATTGTCTCTCTTGGATGACATTCACTTTCAGTAATGAATGGATCTTCAACAATTTAAAAATATATATTAATTTCAACCAGATTATGTGAACTGCATATATACTAATCCTATCGACAATAAACGAGGTCCAGTTTTCCATCTGTGCCACTGGCCGCCCACATATAAGTACTGTTTGAGGTGGAAACGCTAGGGTGGAGGCAGGGCCTTTAAGACCCTTAACCCGTGCCTGGTGGCTTTGCTCAGTAATCCATCCATAGCACATCCATACTCTGGTAAGGGGCCGATGAGGTTGCACTGGGGGCTCCTGACCCCCCCGGCCGTCACTTTGGCCTTGCCCTCCCAAAAGATGATTGCAGTTATGTCACTTGACATCAGTCTACATTTTGTATTCTCTTCTAACATACTAAAAAAGATTAGAATCAGTTACACAATCAATTTAATATTACAACCTTATAAAATACACACTGACATGGTTAAACAACACAGTCACATTAATACTGTTACAGCACACTTATCATGAATAAATTAACAGAAAAGCTTACACAAATTGTAAAATTGTCTGAGAGGAGGAAGGGAACCTAATTTGAAAGGAGTATGGTATAGTATTAACAGTTTTTTCTTTAATTCGATCGGCCCTAATTTTCTAAACATCCACATGATGGTAATCTAATAAATCTGGTACTCTGAGCAAGGTGAAATAAACATGAACTGATGATGCATGTAGCAGGTTTGTTAAAAAATTACAGTCACAGTTACACAAAAAGTGTCCTTTATCAAGTTGGGTTTGATATGCGATACATGTCCCACAGGTGTGGAGTTTAAACATGTCCAGCTGTGAAGAGGCCGATGATAATGTAGCTCAGCGTTGCAGGAAGAACCCCTCTGCTCGAGCTGACCAGAGGAGAAGTCGAGGAGAAGATGGCACTGCTCGCATTCCTCGGCACCAAAACGTTACAGATGTTCCCCTCACAGCAGGACGAGCACATCTGACCAATGAAATTTAAATGGTAAGAAGACGTCCTTATTTTGGAAAATCTTTTTCATAACATGAGCATCAGGTTGTTGATGCACTTTAATCTCCACACACCTTATAGCCATTATCAGTGACATCAGCACAGCCGGTAAACTGGCAGTCCTCCAGGGTCGCACAGCGCTTGGTCACAGAAACGCTGTCTCCGTGGTTATCCATCATGTGGAGTGTGTGGCAGTATCTGGCATCTGGAAGACATGGTACGCCTTCATCTCTGCATTATTTTACTACTGAGAAAAAACAGATCTTGTCTATAGGGAGGTTATTGTGTTGACTCATTCTTGCTGCACAGATGAGAAAAGTCCGACATACCTTTTGGACAGTAAATGTCCGGTGCCCAGCGGTTACACTCATAGTTATCTGCAGCATCTTCACACGTGAAGCACTTGAAGCTGCCAGGATGAGGAGTAGCTGTGGACATACACACGCACACACACACAATATCGTTTTAAAATCAAATTAATCATCATTGACGCTGAATAGAATAGTGACATTTTCTTCATATCTTTATTACTTACTTACTTAATTAATTAATTGAATTAATGCACAATTTAAATGCTAATTTAACTGAGTACTTCCTTACACCCATCGTTGGTAGAAATGAAAAAGAGGCAGTCTGCTTGGTCAAGTGGCATCAGCATTAAAGGAAAGAGTTTGGAGGCTTGGCTGCACTAAGTTGCTGTTAACAGTAATGGATTGACTTAAGGCAGCTCTTGCCAACCATAGATATAGAAAATTAGATGCTCAGTTGGCTCCCACCATATTGGGAAGAGAAAGAACTCCCTGTAAACAAATACAAGTAAAATGGGGAGTTGCATTTTTTTCTAGATAAAAAGTTCTTTAACATTACATTTTTCAAGTGATTGCAGTTACTTATTTTTATATTCATGGGTTTATTATCAACGTGTAGCAGAGGAAAAATAAAGTTTTGTCTCCTGTTAAGTAAAATCTCGATATTTTGGCTATAATCCTTGCTGGATGCTTAAAAGGGGAATGTGTGTTAGGCTTATATGAACTGAATACTTAGGTGGTGGGAAACAATTTATCGTCATGAGGAATGTAAAAACTAGTTGGTTTTGTTTTGTTTGCTCTGGGTAATACTTGACAGAGATATCCTCTATTTGATCTAATTTAATGTGGAAGTAGACAACTTTTCAACTAGTTAGCACTCTACCTAGCTACAGCTGTCTGGTTGTCAACTCCTTGATCATAACGGGACATAATAACTTTCACATTACTCATTTCAGAAAGGCCATCGCAAGAAAAACTGTTCCTTGTTTATGTAATATAATGTGCATTTAAATGTAGGAATGATCCTGGGAGAATAACTAGGCCCACTTAAGTTAGCATGCTAGCTCAGTTAGCTATCGCAAATAGCTGGCAGCAAGAAACACACATCTATGATCCATTGTCCATTTGATAATTTATACAAAGTACACTTTTTTCTTGCGGTGGCCTTTCTAAATGTGCAGTGGTGAAAGTTACTGTATTATGTTACCATCAATAGGTTGATAAGCAGACAGTGTTAGCTAGCAAGTTGAAAAGTTCCACATTAAATTATATATAGGGACCTATCCACGAGTATTAACCAAAGAAAATGAACCAACTCAATGCTGAACAAATGTGAGTTGAATTATAAATTATTTTCAACCACGTAACATTAATGTTGATTCAGTTTATGCCTATCACACACTCTCTTTTCAGCATCCAGCAGCGATTTTAGCCAAAATATTGAGATTCTCATTAACTGGAGACAAAATGTTTTTTTAATACTATACAGAGATCATAAACCTACACATATAAAAATGACACGTTGACATTGTTTGAGAAATATAAATGTTATACTGCTTTATCCAGAAAAATACTGCACAAAGGATGTGATCTCTATACTTGCTGGGAAACAGCAATTTTGGATGAAAAGGGCAGCTATGAAACAGGCTACAAAGCCTGTTAAATACAGTTCCCAAAGCTTTTGTCTCATGATTCTGTTGGAAGCAGGTTTGAACAAATATTTTTTAAGAATTAAAAAAGATGGGAATGTTTACTATTTTATTGACATCATTATGTGAATTTGAGAACATCTCCAAACACCTGCCAAAAGGTGATAAAGCAGCCCTAATGTTTTCACATTAAAAACGCACATTATGCACATAGTTTTATCATGCTCCTACTTGAGGGATGCAGCAGGATGATGTCCGTCATTGTAAAGTCCCGTGACTGGGCAGTTTTCAGCCAATCACCAATGCTGGTCATGAGCAGGACCCAGGCCACTGTCGGCCAGGCCTCCATCATCGCCCCAGAGTTCCCTCATGCACTTTTCTTTTTGGGCAGGCAAACTCTGTGGGAGAGAAGAGACTGTAAGCAGCTGAAACACACCACAGAGGTGGTTTCAAATAAATCCACAAGAAGACTATCTCAATAAATAGACTTTTTTTAACACCTTTATATTTATATTTCATAATTTTGGAGTTGCAGTGAATGGAGAAAATGAAAACAAATGTCTTGAATGAGTAAAGCAAAGCCAGCATCTAATAATAGAAAGAATTAGTCTATTAAAGTGATCAGCTGTGTGCTGCTCATGCTGCGAGCTCCCTTCATTATTTAAACGTCAAAAAGGACCCCTACCAGTCTGCAGACAAAGCACAGGAAGACATCTATTATAACTATTAACACTGTCACTTCTGACATAAACATGAGTAATGTTTCAATTACAAGCCCCTTTTGCCCTCCGGGAATTTAGCCATTAGTCCTTGCTCGCCAGATGGTTTTTTTTTTTTTTTCGGTCATGCAATAGGTCATTTATTGGTAAAACCAAGTCAGCATGTGTATTGTCTTTTACTCTGACTTCTTTGCAACAGCAGGTCTGCTCAAGGAGGAAACATCCCCCTCCCAGACCTCCTTTACTTCCAAATTGGTTCCTTAGATAAATAGATTCACAGCCCCATTAATAAAGTCCTGGTGTTGGCCCTTTAGAGAGGGAGAGATTGGAAGCAGATATTTTTTGAGTGTGGAGCCAAGTGCTAATGTATCTCTAACAGAAATGTCAATTTCAGAAAAATCACTTCAAAAAATGTGGGAATAGTAATGACATCCAAAATGTTTTTTATTTATTTGAAAAAGGAAAAACTGTTAACCCTTTGAAACAACAGCCTGAGGCAGGAAGCAATTTGTTTTCATTCCAGACTCCAAAGGAGGATTTGACAAGTCAGTTACAAGCATATACTGTAGAGAATAAATCACGTCTCTCCCCAAACGTTTGAACTACATTCGGAATATCCGACAGCTTATTACTTCAAACAGGGCATGTGACACGTATCGTTTTAACACTGGACAGTCAGATGAGCTTTAAGAGGGGGCATTCCAGTTTGCAGAAATGTGAATGCTTTGTCACTATATGGGAGTAATTTACATAGTCTGAGAGACAATACCTGAATGTCCTTGGTTTATTAAGACTGAAAGTATTTTTTGTTTGCAAGAAAAAAACCTGAAATGTAAAATATGAAATTCATTGAAGTTATTTTCCTTGATGACATCTAATAATATTCACTTCAAATATTCAGTTACAGGCAGGACACACTCTGATAAATGTTCCTCTAAGATTCCTTGAGACATCAGTCAACGAATTAAATACCAGATGACCTGGTTTTGCCCCGTACATCAGAAGTGTAAGATCAGCGATGAGTTCAGATGCCTCTCTGACTCCATTTTATATTTTATCCCCAGGCATTGTGTGGTTGTAAATGCTTGTTTTCTTAGCGTTATGCATGCCCCAATAACATTGATCCATGTCTTGGGGGCAGACAGAACAACTACTGTACACAGAATACTTATTTTTGGTATCAAAGGCTCTGATTATTCAGTGTATCGTAAAAAATAATCAGTTTGACCACATTTAACATGTTGGCCCTGTGATAACAATATTACACCAAGAAAATACAGCATCTAAATCAATAATTCCAATATGTTATTTCCATGACCCAGGGGAGTTCAGTCAGTATTGGTGAATAAGATCTACTCTCTTACAAAGCCAGAAACTAGAGAAGTCAGAGAAGTAAGTCTCAGACTGATGATGTCATCAAGTATAAAATATAAAAATCACCCAAATGAGCAGTGTTCTCAGTTCTGACACATAAAATGTACCCATATACTCAGAACATTCCCCTGGGTGCTCTCTGTGTCATCTGTAACATCTTTCCCAATTCATTGTCATTGTCCAGACTTTACACTTGATGACATCACAACTCTGAGTGTCAGCACTCTAGTTCTTGGATTTGGGGGAGAGCTGTGAATGTACTAATATTTTTGGACTGTATTAGACCATGGGAATAACGTCTGAATTTTGGAAATTGGTTCCTCTTAAAGAGTAAGATCAGGTTGAATATTTTGCAAATATTTTTATTTTAAATATTTTTTTATATATTTTTCATCATGGGAAAGGTTACAATCGCCATACACATCCAAGTCAAATGATTCTACAGTAGTCAAGGGTGTTAATTGACTCTGGCTCCGACTGACATTGATGGCTCCGACTGACATTGATGGGACATTGTACCCCTTTAAAGTAAAATATCACTCCTAATGGGTCTGCACAGAGTTTGAAAAAGAGACTGAGTAAGTGAGAGATTTGTAAAGAAGTAACCACTGTAATATTTTACTGGCCTCCATGCTGCTCTCTACTGTTTACAAATCTGTATTCCGGCCTGTCTGTGACATCAAACCTGACACACCAGAAAACAAACAAAAAAACAGAAAGAGCAGTGTTTACAGCTCTAGTCTACTGCCAATGGGGAAGGAGTCTATAACCTATTTTCAGTAGGTTTTCCTGTGTTTAAAAAAAACAGAATACATGCGCTAATTTTTTGTGGGAAAAGGGGGTATTACAAAACCACTGTGTATTTACAGAAAGACAGCATGATGACACCTAGAGCTGAAACAATCAGTTGATTAATCAATTAGACGATTCATATTGATTGCCCAAGTCATTTTTTAGCTGCGACCTGTAGCTCTTCGGTTGCTCAGTCTGTCGGTCGGTTGGTTGGTCAGTCCACAAAATTTCCTTTAGTGTGTGTGTGAAGGTGTGTGTTTGTGTTCATGCCAATTGGTAAAAAGGAACATGGTAATGAGAATGGCTTATTGCAAAAAGTTGCATAACTTCCAAATGGATTCAGAGATTTACCCAAGATTTTGTGGAAAAATGGGTCATGAGCCAGAGGACAGCAGATTAACTGTTCATGCCAATCTGCAAAAAAAAAACACATGGATGCATGCGAGTATGTGATTGTAGCTACTGCAAATTCATGCTCATTTAGGCAAAAATGGCAAATTTTCACTGTTTCTACAGTCTCAGATATAAATATTTGCTGGTTTCCACATGTTTTATGATTGTAAACTGAATAAATTTGGAGTTTTGATAGCTGTTTTGACGAAACAAGACATTTCAATAGGTTAACCAGAGACTCTGAAATTATACAAACCAAACAAAACAATCCCAACGTTCTGGTATGAAGACCCATCACTTTGTACGCCCAACATCCTCAACAGCCACCTCATTCCAAAACCTATGTAGTACATGAATGTAGTGTTTTGTTACCTGAAAGAAACGTTGTCTCTGAACATAATCCAGGCAGCAACCTTTAGTTTTAATTTCTTGAACCTAGATTTCACTACAGAAGCTGAGTTCTGGGGACGCGGCTTAATAACATCATGAAACGATTCAGAGTCTTTTGGTCCATGGGTTTGCATTCATTAAGCTCCTCAGAGCACAACTGCTACTGTATAGCTCATAATGCCATTCTGTGTGCTGAAAGAAAAACTTTGAGCCGTCTCAGAGATGCAGAGCCTTCCCTGGAGTAAAATTTGGTCTGAGTCTGAGAGGCAGGGCCGTGGGGATTAGGCACAATAGCTCCCTGTTACAACTGGAGTGGGATGGAGAGGGTTTATATCACTCAGGGTTCAATCGGCGCCGACCAACTCCTTCGGGTCACAGGACTGAAAGAATCTGAAGGAGAGCAGGGTTTTAAATCTTTCTGTCACCCCTGACAACAGGACATTAAATCTGTAGATTGTGAGTGTCAAAGTTGGTGAGAAGAAGACTTTAAAATACTGTTTGCCTCATGACCCTGCCTATGACCTCTTCATACCAGAGAGAACTTGGGTTATCTCCAGTGCTCTAAATCAGTCATCAGAAGTACAGAGGTTGTTTTCTGAATATATATTACTTTAAAGGTGTTTCCAAGAGAAGACTCTTTCGGTAACATTCTGACAAACCTGTGACCAATTACTTCACACCTTCTGTCTGCAGGTACTGCTGTCAAAGATATTTATGACTGAAACCCACAGGAATGACCCAACTAATCGTAAATATCACTGGGAGAGTCATCCTCACCAAATTCTTGACGTCTTTCTCATAGATGTGCTAGTTTATGTGAGTGATTGATGTTTTTGCATATACAGGAGTGTTCGGTAAATACATTTTTTAGACGTCAGCTGTCCTTGTGCGCATTTTGTCAGAAACAGAGACGTTTAAATGTGCAAAAACACACCACTTGTGTAGGAGAGCATGAGGAACACATGAACGCAAGTTTACCAACAGACAAGACTTAAGAAAACTGGTTTAAACACCCAGAGGCCTCTACAGCTGTTCAAACTCATCTGTCAAACCTGAGAGCATCACATACTGTACAATTAAACATTACGAGCAGCTTTAGGAAATAATTTTCTTAGTTAAAAATCACTAGAATAATCCCAAAGTGATGTTGGCTGCTGTAGGGGGTAAAACAAATTGTCAAACGTGAACTGTTTAATTCCTTAGATGAAGGATAATTGCTCATGGTCGGTCATGCGTGTCAAAAGAATTCCAGATTTACACCACCAAGGTTGCCTTTGAAGATCAGCCGACGTCCAGCAGCTCAGCCCCATCGACCAGACACATATGGCAGAGGCTTAACTTCTGACATACAACTGCTCGTGTTTTTCAGCCCTGCGCCGAGGTCGGGGATACATGACTGCACTGGAGAAATTGCGGTAAGTGTTGCTGAATTCTCATGTCTTAAGCAGTTTAACACTTCACTGTTGACTGACACCTAAGTACTGTGTGTAAAGTTCAGCCTTCCAACACAAATACTGCAATGTGAAATCACTCTGCAACAAGCAATAGTCCTGAATTTAATAAATCCACTTAAGTATCAAAACTATGGATTATTCAAGAACATAGACATGGTGTCAACGCAAGGGGGGACCAACCTTGACCCACCCCCCACAAAAAATACGATGAATAAATAAAAAATCAAAACTTGAAAACCAATTTACTATTATATCATTTATCATAAGTATATGTATGATTATGGTTACATTTACCAATTATTATTCAAACCAGGGGTTACAGAAAGCCCAATTTATTTCACAATCACGGCTTGCTAAGTATGCAGAATTTTCTTTTAGTGTTTTATCATTACATACTATATTATTGTATTTCTATCACTGATGGATACTGTGACAGCAATATTTTAAATTATAGCTGGTGGAGGTGAAGCAACTGTTATATATTTTGGATATTTTCATCTTGTCAAATTAATATTGTGGAGAAAAAAATAAGTATTTCCCTCTGAATTGTGGTTATAGTAAGTTTTTAATAAGCCTTTCATGCACAACCACCATAATCACAATCACTGCACAGTGTAAATATGTGGCTCCATTCATATAGATAAATGTGCAGAAATAGCAGTCTACATGTATTAAATGGCATTAATTATACAAAAATACCCCCTTTGTACTGTTGTGTCAGCGCACATGTGATGAAAGAGACCTGCTCAAAATGCGCTTCACATCTCAGCCACATAAATTAAAACAGCCTGAATAATTCAAAGCCTATAGGACGGTATACACACTACACTATTACACTATCTTACACTATCACACTCTGATATATCCTCACATGACGATTATTATACCTAATATTTATTCTCATAAATATGACTATAAACGCGATTGAATCAATTCACAAGTGGGTTTCAAATGTGATATCCTTAATTAACCTTAAATTAGTGCGCAGATTTTGACCAAAGCATGACATTTACAAACGCATTGACTTCTCATGTTCACACAGGCAGTCTGCGGTACTTTATAATACAACTTACCGGCTGTGTGTCCTCGGTCAGCCCGCAGGAGACTTGCAGCGCAGATGAAAAACAGAAGAAAGTACCGTGCGCTGTTCTGTGGAGCAGAGGGGGGAGGGTACTGTAGCGTCACTGTGACGTCAGTACTACTCCCATCAGCAGCACAGCAGCTGGACCAGTAAGGATCTATATTTACATTTCCTGGATCTTATCAGTAAACACTGAATTGGCATTATCAGTACTTATAATTGGATTTTAAAGTTGCTTCTAACATTCAGCATTGGCAGGTGCATGCACTGTGTTCAAGTGTACATGCAGCCAATACACGTCTAACAAACGAAACTTAATGAATCCTAAGATCAGTGTTATTCAGTTATGTACAAAATGCCCTAGGGCCTTGCTCAGGATCAAAAGAGATCAAACAGCAAGTCTTCCCTGTGCTATAATGAGCACACATTATATCTGTAGGCGAGTTACAAGACCCTATAAACCACTTGCTTGTTCACATTCCTTAAGTGAAAAACATGGTTTGCTGCCAACAGAGTCACACATCTGCTCATCAGCCACAGGCAGCAGTCCTCTGAACTGTCTGGATGTGGGATCCCTGACAGAAAAGCAAAGACCCTTGTCAAATAGAGGAATTTAAGTAGCATATGCACACAGATGTGCTTAATATCTGGACAGATGGCCAGTCCATCATGGAGACAGCTTTCAGCATGCGCCTCAGAAACTTGAACACTGCTGGAGTGACAAAAACTTAAAGCAAAAGACAAATGGTGGGTCAAAATGTTGGGTAGTGACTCCTGGATGAATTGATTAATAATACTGACTGATAATCAAAAGTTAATATTGTGATTCCTTTTCTCTGTAGTTTGATTTTCCTACTGTTATTTCTGTTTGGTCATATGGCATCTATTGCATGACCTGTCCACTCTGTCAGAGAGATCCCTCCTCTATTAAAGTTTTTTTGAGGGAGTATTTACCTATACAAACCAATGTCATAGGCTTTATTAAACCAAATTTGTGATTTTGGGTCATTTTCTTTTATAGTCAAAGCTTTGAAGTCTCTCCACATATTTATGTCATCACCATAAAAACCATCAGTTTGAATAAATTGATTTATCACATTCAATAAGTTAGTCTTTTTAAACTAAATCAACTTTCTTTAATGAATAATTGTAATTGATGGTGCTTTTAAATTGCTGCTAGACTGCCCTGTGCACAAACTAGTGTCCAAATATTCTCTTTATGCCCCTAGGTGGGTCCAAATATCAAATGCGCGCACAACCGTTGCCACGAAGGGCGTTGCTAAGGGAGCTGTCAGATGTGGGTCTATCGGTTTACTCCTTCAAATCTATTTTTGCGTCTGAAGTGGAGTCCTGAACTTTCTCCGTGCTTCTGGACTACTCGCTTCTGGGCTTGAAATATAGGGTGCATTGTAAACTCTCACCTGTGGGGGGCAGCATTACGCTTTATTAGTGCACAGACTGCCGGAACTTGATTAGAAAAAGAAGAAGCATCGCGGCCATCTTTGAAAGTTGGGAGGTGTACATCACTACCGCTGGTCCTCAAGCCTTCTCTTCAAAGTTAGTTTAATTAAGATAACGTCACATAAACTGCTTTGCCCGAGCATGGCTAGCCGAAATATGCAACAAGCGAACATGCAGAGCTCTAACTCTCCACAACCGGCCAAACGCGGGACCGACTCCCCGGCCCCGGAGCAGTCACCGGCGAACAAAGACAGCCCAGCGCCGCCGCAGCAGCAGCAGTCACCGGCGGCCGAACAAACGGAGGGAGCCGGGGAAAGTAACGAAGAAGCCCGGGCTGAAATGACTCTGGATATCACCAATTTTCGGAAGCCCGGCGAGAAGACGTTCACCCAGCGCTCACGTCTTTTTGTCGGTAATCTCCCGCTGGATATCCCGGAGGACGAGTTCAAAAACATGTTTGCTAAATATGGGAACATTAGCGAGGTGTTCATCAACAGAGACCGGGGGTTCGGTTTCATCCGCCTGGTAAGTGCTGCTTATTGGGTTTGAAGTGTGCTGTTGTACCACAGTGTGTGCTGGTTTTAATTGTATTAAACTATTTCTGTATGTGGACCGAAATGTCTTAACTAAGAGGAGCTAGCTGCTATGTTAGCATTAGCACAAGGTGCATATTGACTTGACTGTATCTATCATTTAACAATAAAATATTAGCAGTTACTTCGTGTGACCAGTTGTATGTTTCTAAATTAGAAAGGTTCAACATATTTATTTTACATTTTATAGAGTATATTATCAAGGTTATGACCTATATTTCCACTTTAATGTGTTAAAATGATAGTAGGTTACATGAAATTCTTGTTTACCCTCTCTTCTGTGACATTACAATGCAGTATACTTGTTTCTACACAGAGCTATGTTAATAGAGCAAATAATACAGAAACATATTGTTTGAACTTAGGTGTGACACTCTTATTGATCATAGGAAATATAGAGCTGCAAGTTTTATACTCAGGTGCAAATTCTGGACTGTAAATAGCTTTAAGTGAAGATAACAATTCATTTATTCTACAGTCTTTGTGAATCCCAGAATGTGCCTTACTGCATATTCGTCATCCTTTTCCTGTTTATTCTATGTCTTCCAGGAAACCCGGACGCTGGCAGAGATTGCTAAAGCTGAACTGGATGGGACTATTTTGAATAATCGACCAATGAGGGTCCGCTTTGCGACACATGGTGCTGCGCTCACAGTGCGCAACCTGTTGCCTGCTGTCACAAATGAGCTGCTGGAACAGGTACGCTGGACAAGAGCTTCAAAGATAAAGTATGCAGGATTCTCTTAAAAAAAACAGAACAGTGTATAGATGTATACAAAAATAATCCCTCTTAATCATCCCTTATGACCCACCAGAAGTGTGTAGCAGTGTATCTTTCAGCAGAGACTCATTTACCACTCCTGGTTCCCTCGTTTCAAAGTCGATACCCCCTATACCCCCACAGCGCTCAGGTTAGGTTGCGGCTTCATAAGAAGGTAGTAGGGTTGGGTCGGTATGAGGAAAAAAAAAGGGTCCGGTTTTTGTGAAAAACCGCATCAAGTCGGTAATACCAGATTTTTGCCACTTGGGGGCGCAATTGACTCATTTAAAATAAAAAACGACCATAGGACAAGTAACACGTTGTTTCTTTTATTCCTTACAAATAAATTTGCAGGTTTAGCTTACTCAGTTAGTGCAAACAAGGGCTACCTCCTTCGTCTGGCTCAAAGCCAAAGTGTTGCCATAATGGCGCATTCTTTGATTTCTTCGAGACTAAATTGTCCGCCATTATCGACTCCCCGTCACTGTTAAACAAACTCCAGGCTACAGTAGAGGCCTCGGCGCATGCGCACTCGCACTCGCACCCCCTAGCTCAGAGCTTTGTGCGCACAGGGCTTGCGGATGTCCGCTTTTAGTCCGGATGGACTTCCGTGGAGTCCACTCAGTGTACATTCCGCCCGACTATGTTTGGGCCTGATGTATGCGGTCCGGTTGGTCTCCAAAAAAAAAACCCGGTCCAAGACAGAGTACCGAACCAAATTGGTATTACCGAGAACCGACCCAACCCTAGAAGGTAGTGACCAGGTGCCAGACTGTAAGCAGCAGACATATAAGAGACACAGACCAGGAAAAAAATGCAAATAGAGGTTAAAAACGCCAAAAGAGAGTGAATCTGTGATTGGCTTTTGCTTTCACTTTCAGTGGCAAGTGTGTTTAAGACAGTAACCAACTATCCTGCATAGTATACCTTTCAAATCTCAAAAGTTCAACAGGATTGGGATGTTTGTCATTTTTAATTCAATGATTTCTGTTTTACGACATTTAATCTAAAAAAAAAAAAAAAAATCCTCTACCATCAGGCATTTTCTCAGTTTGGGCCAGTGGAACGGGCTATTGTTGTGACAGATGACCGTGGTCGTTCGACTGGGAGAGGCCTTGTGGAGTTTGCAAACAAAGCATCTGCACGTAAAGCCCTGGAGCGCTGCACAGAGGGAGCACTGCTGCTGACCACGTAAGGAGTCAGGGGTCGAAGTAGTTTGGAGGGCTGAACACACAGAACTTGCAAGGGGAACAAGTGTTTGATTCTGGATTTGTTATTTGCAAAATGAAGGTTCTTTGTGTATCTGCTCATCCTGAATCAATTGAAATCTTAAGTTTGTACAAAAAGAGTCATTTTAGTCTTTTTCTAACACATTACTGACTATTGCTGTCTTGTAACATCACAAGGCGTTTAATTTAGTGTTGTCCTTCCTTCCTTTAGTACACCTTGTCCAGCCATTGTGGAGCCCTCTGAGCACTTTGATGATGAGGATGGACAGCCTGAAAAATTGCTACAGAAGACTCCAAAGTACTATAAGTAAGTAAAGAGGTAATATGTAGTCATCTTAGAGTGCAAAGGCATGTATAGATTTTTGTTTATATTTTATATATATGTGTGTGTGTGTGTGTGTGTATATATATATATATATATATATATATATATATATGTATATTATAATCTGAGGTGTCGTTTGTAAACCACTGGAGTTGTAGTTTATTTTTGTATTCATCTTCTTTGCCAGAGAAAGAGAGCACAAACCACGTTTCGCTCAGCCGGGGACATTTGAGTTTGAGTACTCATCTCGCTGGAAAGCTCTCCATGAGATGGAGAAACAGCAAAGAGAACAGGTGGACAAGAACATTAAAGAGGCCAAAGAGAAACTGGAGGCTGAGCTGGAGTCGGCTAAACATGAACATCAGCTCATGCTAATGAGACAAGGTAGGGACTGTGGGGCTACTTTTTTGTATTATGAACTTAAAGCCCTGTTTCCACCAAACACTTTCGGTATGGTACCGTTGTAACCAAAAGTAACCCTTCAGACATGGTACCTTGACCTTGGCGTTTCCACTGTTAACAGTGGGCGGCGTTGTTGCCACTCACTGTGTGTCTGCACCTCGTCTATCGTCCACAGAATGAGGCTGCACGCCGACATTTTCAGGGCAAAATAAAACAGGCTGCAGTGAGAGTCCCTCTTGATGGAATATTTAGTGACCAATCAATGGAGTGCAATGTTCACAGCTCCACCTTTTAGTACTAGATCTGTGTGCTAGGTACCCCAAAAGAGGGTGACCAAAAATGGGCATGGTAAAGAACGGTTCCATTGGTACCATCCACAACTTTTCACAGTGGAAACAGAAAAAAGTGTACTGAACTAAACTGTACCGTGTCTTACTGTTTGGTGGAAACGGGGCTTTAGTGTACTTGGTATCTGTCACATTTGCTCAGATGGGAAGTCTGAATAATACTAATTCATTGAGGTTTTTCAGTGGCTGCACCTTAGCTGCCTGTGGTGTTAAGACTGATAACAACTGTAGGTTAACATAGGATTTTACAGATTGACTGTCATAATGTTGCTGAAAGTCGTTATGGATGTTTTGTACATTATCAGAGAGTGTTGTGCCTAGGGCTGTAACAGTATGGATTTTTTGTTACCGCATTAAAAAAAAAAAGCACCATGAACACCACACCAGATACATTAAGAAAAACACACCATCAGTCTTGCAGTCTCCACATGGCCCACACTGTCCAACATTTAATTGCATTTTTTAAGTGATTAATGTCAGCTATAGTCAGACACTCTATATCTTCTGATGATGGATTGACTACAGTTGATAGTGTTTTAGGGAGAATGGATTATATGACCTGAACTGATTTTAATAAATGTGAAAATTTGGTGTGAGTTAAAAGCAATACAGTCATAATGGATGTTGCCTTTTATCCACAAAAATGTGATTGTTTGCATGTACGTATATCCATTCCTCTGCCAGTCTCTTACTTATATGGTCTTCTGTCAGATCTAATGAGACGTCAGGAGGAGCTGAGGAGGCTGGAAGAACTCCGCAACCAGGAGCTGCAAAGACGAAAGCAAATAGAGATGAGGTGTGTGTCCATTTTTGAGCAATGCCTCAGGGCATAGTGAGAAAGCTGTTGAGATTTGTATTTTTATTTTTGCCTCATTTCCCTCTTTACTCTCCCCGGATGTAGGCATGAAGAGGAGAGGAGGAGGAGAGAGGAGGAGATGATGAGACACAGGGAACAGGAGGACCTGAGACGCCACCCAGATGGCTTCAAACCAAACTACCTGGACAATGTGAGTAAAACTGGAATGCATATACAGGGTGTCCGCGGGGTCTTAAAAAGTATTAAAAGTTGATAAATCAAATGTTGGAAACTTAAGGCCCTTAAAAAGTATTAAAAAGTCTTAATCGCGAGTTTATGAAGTATTACATTTTCTTGGCATTCAAGCTTTGACAAAAAGTATCCATGAATGTATAATTTATTTTCCTCCTCGTGATTATTACAAACAAGGATGTGTAGGTAGACTAGGGCTGTCAAAATTGCTCAAAAATGACGTTCGAATAGTCCTTCTAAAAATAACTCATAGGTTTGAACCATTCAAAAAAAAAATTTTTCCGCATTATGTCCACAAGAGGGCAAACTAATACAAGGAAACATACTTGTATTAATACAAGGAAACATAACTACGCGTAGGTATATTTATTTCAACATAAACATCTTTGAAAACATTTACATACCTACACATTAAAAGACATAAAACAATTATCTATAACATTACGTTATAAAGGACCGCTGACCTCTCTCTCGCCCCCACTCTCTGACCCGTCAGGCCACACTGCCTGCGGAAGCGCTGCGAATAGCCTCGAAGCGCAGCCAGTTTCCTTTCGGCACCCATGTTAACCGATTGTGTCATCCACACCGTCTGCGCCGTGCCGCGCAGCTCCATGGCCGACTCGCACCCTGCAGCAACCATTTCGGCGTCTGGTCTATTTTCTGCGCAAGCCGCGAGCGAATATGTCAAGCCGGGTGACAGAGACAACAGCTGGGAGCAGAACCGCTTGTCGACCAGCGTGGAGAAATGTGCGTCTGATGTGAACGGAAGTGCTCCGGCTCGCGCGAGAATTTCGGTGCGCTGCGCTTCGCAGCACTTCTGCGGGCGGTGTGGCCTATGCAGTGCGTTCAGTGCAGCGGCCTAGGCCAACGCACACTCGCAAAGAGGACAGCTGCCATAATGTTTTTTTTCCATCCACAATCGAATATCAATTTTCACATTCGAAGGTCCATTTTTTTTTCCAAATTCGAATTTAAATTCGAATTTAGAATATTCTTTGACAGCCCTAAGGTAGACACACTCGGACTGCCACTCGGGGTGGGGGCTGAACAAAAAAAAAAAGTCCAAAAAAGTTAATAACTTAAAAATTATGGTGAAAAGGTAGTTTCTTGCAACCCTAGAATTAAGATAAAAATATTCACAAACTAAAAACACTTCTGGTTGCTGATAAGTAGTGTTTAACTTTTGATTTAACACTAAAATTTAAAACCCTCTGCGCGCACTGCAGCGCAAGCAGACAGATGCGCAACTCAGAGCAGCATGTGTCACTGACACCAGACTCAGAGCGCAGCGGACCGGTGGAAAATGTCACCATTAGCATATTATTTTACATCAATAAAATCTATTTTATCATTATTTTGAGTCACATTGTTGAAAGAATTTAGCCGTCTGTGTTCAAGCAGGATAATAGGTCTCCATTCATTGCATTTGGGTGTTCTATTTCCTTGTCGGAGATGTTTTCTTTTTTAATAACCAACCAAAAACAATCAATCAATTAAAAACACAAACTGGAACTGGAACATGAAATCTTATATGCCTAACAGACATTGCTTCTCGTTCTTTGAATTTACATATGGCTAAAGGGGAAAAAATCAACCGTAAACGGACAGCATGATTAGTGTTGCGTTCAAGGTCCCCCAAAAAAATGGGGAAAAAAAGGCTGAATATTCGAAAAAAAAAAAAATTTCACACTCAAATCCCGTGCCATCAACTGAAGCTTTGAAGCTTCGACGCTTCGAATTTTTTGGGTCAGCCCTAAATTCCACATGTAAGGGCCAAGCCATAAGGTTGTTGTTTTCAGCAAGTTGGCCTTGAATAGTTGATGTTGAGCTGTAGAGCTGTATTACTTGTTATGACCTAAGGTGTATTTTAATAAACCTGCCTTTGGTTTAATTTATTCTTTCAAACTTTATTCCTTCTCATTTTATCTGAGTTCTGTTGTATGTTTGTGCGCCATAGATTTAATTGCAGACTACAACTGTTTAGTAAGTTAAAGATGCGTTGCTGCTAACGACAGCTTGAAGTGGCGATGAGGTCTTAAGGTTTTTTGGAAGGTCTTAAAAAAGTCTTAAAAAGGTATTGAAATTAACCTCAGGATTCCTGCATATAGCCTGATATAAATACTACACTGAAGCTTGTCCAGTTCCAGTCCTTTTACACTTTACATATTATAGTCGTGTGCACACACCTGTTATCAAGACTTCAAATCAATGAAACAGTTAAACAAAAGTTGTTGGGTTAACAAGTTATGATTCTACAAATGCATACACAACCTTTCTCCCTACTTTGAGCACCACCTAAGCACACACTGAAAGTAGAAATACATAATGTAGTATTTTAACCTCTTTAAAACGTACCTCTAGCGGACAGCTGCAGGAGATTGTATTTTGCATGATCCTGTTTAAATACATCTAAGATAAAAACCATCATAGCTAGAGTATTCATTCTTTTTGGTGCAGAAAGGTCCGTGATCGCTTTCTACCCGGCCCCTTTCTCATCATACAGCAGTGTTTCCCCCACCATTATATTGCCCCGTTCCCACCATTATATTGCCCTCGTTCCCTTTCTTGGGAACGAGTTCTTCCCCGCTCGCTGCCATGATGTTTGTGTATCAAGCACGCAGGGGGGAAGGGTGAGCCCACTCTGAACTACGGGAGCCCAGCGGGGAGCGTCGGTGGCGGATGTTAAAGAGAAACTCGATTTTCATTAAAACAAATCAACCTAACCTATAATTTTCGAATTAATCGATAAAATCGATTTATCGCCCAGCCCTAGCTTCTATCCTCCCTGTCATCGAATCATGACCTTATGTAACCTGACTTTATATGCCATGCAAATGTGATATTTTGCAGTAATTACGCCAGAATTTCCCCATAATGGCAACGGGAGGTCGTTGTTCAATCTGACATAAAATCCATAATAGCTAGAGCATTCATTCTTCTTGTAGCAGAAAGCGAAGGCTTCTGTTTTTCCCGACATTACCTTATGATACCTTATCTTATATGTGGCGCAAACACATTTCGCCAGAATTTCCCCAGGAATTTTCCTATAATAGCTGCAGGAGATTGTTGTTTGCACAATCCTGTGTTAGCTTGTACTGGTATCATTGTGCTACGCTACGCACGCTAGCATCAAGGAATGAATGATACATTTATCACAATGCTATTTTACTCTGTTCATAAAAATGAGCATATCTCAAAACTAAATAATGTACATATTATAAATAATTTATGGAGTGTTAAGAAATATTTTCCTTGTGTCTCTATGTCTAAAATCATTTGGATTTTTTTTTTGTATTAATTTTGTAAAATCTGATGGAAAAACATATCCAATTTTTGTATTTTTTATGACATTTTCAATACTTTTATCAATTATTCTAGTTTATTGACTAATAAACCTTTTGCTTCAGTTGTACGGACATCTCAATAAGCAAAAATACCAGTGTAGGCACTGACAGACCATTTCTATTGCAGAGTTCAAAGGGTTAAACATGTTTGCCATAGAATACCAAAATTATCATAGTATACGTATACCATAGTGTGAAATGGATGTCAACAGCTTGTATAGTGTTCTTATTTTAACTGTTTCTTCTCCAGGTTAACATTACAGCAGCTGCAAAGTTTTATATTTTTCCAGCAGTTTTAAAGAGGCAACAGATTTTTTTTTTTTTTTGCTTGGCGCCACCTAGTGTCAGTGGTGTTGCGTCGCACTGTCGCAACGACCAAATTGACCGTGGGGATCAGAGATAATCAATAATATGACTCTATTAGACTCTCTAAATTAAATAAAATGTAGGCTGTAAAGCCACCAGTATACCTCTCTATATATGTAGAATGAGAAGGTGTGTGGACTAAATAAATGAGTAAAGAGACCGAGCAACAATTATCAGATTTATCTGAAGATAAAACAAATAGTGATGCAAATAATTATACCAGAATGCACAGTACCAGTGCAAACAGCTCACAGTTAATTATACCAATATGTATAGTATCAATACAAACAACAGTAGACACAGTGGAATTATACCAATATGCACATGTAAACAGTCCTGATTCTAGAATAAACGGTACCGTATGGAAACGATGCAGCCGGTTGGAGCTCAAATTGAATGGGAAATGTAACTTAGCTGGGCAGTGTCCGTTGATAGCTCTCTCCGTGAGAAGAGAACAGAAGGAAGGGAGGGGGGTATCACTGTCCGAGGGCTGCCGTAGAATGGCAACAAGGATGTCAGCCGACCAACACTTGCTACCCAGTCCCTGGTTGCGGCGATTTGCGATGCTGGCCAGCTAGGAATTAACTAGCAGCCAGTACAGTACAGTCCTCTCTAGTCTAGCTAACATTTAGCAGTAATACTTACTGATCCATTAGAAAGAAAGCTAGCTGGACATCGGTTTTGAAGCCTCTTTGGTCACGGAGCTCCCTCCATCTCTTGAACACCTGACTGAGGCTTACTCTTGTTTTTCCTCTTCTTTTATCACTCTCCTTTTTGTGCATCCTCGCCTCCTCAGAGGAGCTTGTTTTCTTTTGGGAGGCCGTTTTTTACTTGTCTCCAAACTTTGTCCGTCTGCCATTGTGCTCGTGACTCAACTATCTCATACCCAACTCCTCATAAGGACCAGCTCCAGTCCCTGATTGGTTGACCAACCAATGTCGCAATACATGACGCGTTTCCTGCCGTAAAGCAGATTTTTTTCCGCGAAATTTCGGCACCGGTGGCAGAAGATAATTGCAAAGATTGCAAAGCCACTAAGTAACCTATGTAAATGCTGATAGTCTGATTTTACTGTGGCCACTACCCTATGCAACCCACATTATTTTCATAATGATATATTTAGGAAAAAATGCTATCTGTTGCCTCTTTAAGTTTGAAGCTATAATTTTTTTTTCATCAAGGCAAATCTTGGATAAACAATTTTAACCTGTAGTACCACCAAGAATGATCTGCCAAAAAAAAAAAAAAA